GTTCTTCTGCTGCTGTGAGGAGCCATGAAACAAATTATGATTTAAATAATAGCTAATAACTTTTCTAAGCTATGGATCCTGTGCTTGCATGTGAGTCCTTCATAAAGTCCACATAAAAAAGTAAAAATAATAATCTCTCCTTTGACCTGGTGTGCACAGACAAGTGCACGTGGCTTCAAGACCTATCAGAAAGGAAGGGGGAAGAGCTTGGGTCGTTTTTTATTTTTTTTAAATCATGTACTTCTTTTTTATGACAAAATGGGTAGTTGCACACCTGCTTTTATACATTGTTTTGTTGCAACAATATTTTCCATAGTTTTGTGTGTTTTAGTTTATTTCCAATTTCAATGTGTTTGTACAAATGTATGTGTTTCCAAGTGTTGGGCTCTAAATGGAGAAAGAAGTAAAAAGGTGGAGCCTCCCCAAGAACATACAGAGCATATATATTAAACATGTGTTTCTTCTGCCGCTTTAGGACAAAGGATGCATTTTAACTTTTGTGCTAATTCCATTCTTGATGTTGAAGCTGTTTCTGACACATTCATATGTACTGCCCTCATTCAAAGAAATGAACTGATGAATACAAATATGTCGTCTGTTTGGGACCATGAAGATTTGAGGAAATGGGTGGAGTCATCTGTGGGTGGAGTCATCTGTGTTCCTGCTCAGTTTGGAACTGTTGGAAGTAAAACCTACAGCCACATGGCCCTTTCTGGAACCGGTTTGAGACCCCTGGTCTAGGACTTCTTTTTCAGTGTTGGACTCAGAACCTGTGAGAGTTGTTGTTTTGAATGGTTGATGCAGCTCTGGCCCCACATGGATAAAGCAGTAGTTTAGTTGTTTCATGTGTGTTATTTCTGCTCCATGACTTCCACAGTATTGAGGCAGAGTCTGTCTTCTGATGCTTTATTGAGGACAGTGTTCACTTCCTTCCACAGGCCTTTCCTCTACTTCCTTGTTTCCTCCAAGAGCCAACAGTCATGTTGTTTATGACACGTCCCAATCATGTTGTTCATGTATGTTTATATTTGTGTTTGCTGTTTCAGATTCCTCACTTCTTCTTTTCTTTTTGAACGCTGGATAAAGTGTGTTTTCTTCTTGCAGCTTGTCTTAGTCCTTTTGTCGTCTGTGGCTGGATTTTCCTTCTGTGTTTGTGATAAAACACGTTCAGGGAAGAAGGGCAGCGAGGGTGAGCATGAAGCCTATCCCCAAATCTTCTCCAGCAGAGAATCCACTGAAGCAGAGGAAGCAGCCTGATAAGTGCAGTAGAATCATTGTTTTCTGGATCTAAACATTCAACAACATCAGATATTGGTCGATGAGCAGAATGGATTTAGGAAGAACAGAGCATTGAGCACATCTATGTTCTGTCCTCTGTGGTGCGAGCCAGACTGCAGCCAAACTAAACTACTTTGTTTTTTAGTCAGTGGGGGCGGGTCCCAGCTCAAAAGTGGCCAAAATGGCTCTTGGTCCAAAGCTCCGTTCCACATGTGTGTCAATGCTGAGGGGAGTGAATTTTTTTGGTCCACTCTAGTTTACTCGCTGTGAATTTTTGAAGTCTCTCGTTCAAATGAATGGAGCTGCGCCGGCTGACGCATGCGCAGATGCGTTTTTTTATACTTTTCTTGTGGGCGGGACCACTCGCGGCCATTTTGGATTGCTCCAGTAGGGAAAATTTTTTGGCCCATTAGTTAGAACGGCGGCGATAGGCGTGACTACGTCCGTTAATATATACAGTCTATGGTTTTAGTATGTATTATTCCAGATGATGCATATGTGGGGGGAGAAATTGTGAATGTGACAGAGCTTCCATGCTGTAAGGGCTTGTTGATGAAAATCAGAGTTTTATTGGAAGTTTGTTGATATTATAATTGCATTTTAAAATGAAATGTAAACCACCTATTTTATTAAATACGAGGTTGGGGATGAGGTACCATATTGAATTCAGGTTTTTTAATGCCTCTTGAATCCCTTTGATTTTAAATGTGTAATTAATTTCGATGAAATTGAGCATTTCGATCCCCCCTTCTCCTTTTGAACCTGTGAGAATATTGATTTTAAGATAATGTTTCTTGTTTTTCCAGATAAAGTAGGTAATTGATTTATTGATGTCCTTTGCAGTCGAGTCGTTTAGGTAGAGTGAGAGTGCAGGTTAGACAAGTCTTGAGATGCCTTCTCGGCGTAGTGTTTGGATAAAGAATTATGCTGCTGTTAATATTTTTGTAGAGCATTTTAATATCAATAAATTTGGGACTAAAACCAACAAGTTCAAGCGTTTTGAATAAGAAGAAATGTTCGACAGTATCAAAGGCTTTATAAAAGTCAAGAAAAATAATAAGTGCTTCTGTGTCAATGAGATCAGAGTAATCAATCAGATCTAAAACTAGTCTTGTATTGGAACTTATATGTCTGTTTGCCATAAAACCGGTTTGAGTTTCATTAATGATCTTTTCTTTAAACGTTTGGCAAAGATTTGAGCAAGTATTTTGTAATCTGTATTTAATAAAGTGACTGGGTGCCAGTTTTCTATTAAGAGTGTGTCTTTGCCAGGTTTGGGGATGAGACTTATCAAGCCTTGTGTCATACTGGCGGACATCTCCTCTTGCTGTATGCATTGTTGGAAAAGCTTAAACAAATGATTTTCACTAAGGTCCCAAAACTATGTAAAATTTGGTTGTAATACCATCGTTTCCAGGTGAGCAACCAGTTTGCATACTTTTCAAGGCTTCCTTAATTTCTTTTGTTGTAATGTTTTTGTCATAATTTTGCTTGAATTGCTCAGAAATTGAGGGAATAATGTTTTGAATGGAGTTCAGAAACTCTTCACTTGTTTTGCTTTGGTTTGTTGATTGGTAAATCTGGTTGCAAAAGGAAAAGATAGTGTTAGAAATGTCTTTGGGATCAGTGGTGATTTTACCATTTGAATTGAGTGATGTTGTTTTTGCTGCGATATGTTTTTTCGAGAGCAAAGAAATAACTTGTTTTTTTTGCCGTACTCTAACCATTTGGCTCTTGACCTGATGAAAGCTCCTCTAGCTAGTTCTATATAGCTCTGGTCTACCTTGTCTTGAATTTCTTTTAGTCTTAGTTTTTCTTTTTCCAATAAATTATTTTTTGTTAATAAAGTATTCAGTTCTTCAAGTAATTTGTTTTCTTCTTTATTGTTCTTAGATTTTATTTCTTTGCTCCTTTTTATTGCACAATCTCTTACTTTAAATTTGAAGTACTCCCATTTTGAAATCGGGTTTGAGTTCTGGTCGTCAAGGATCTCGTCTACAAGCATTTTGACTCTGTTACAAAAAATATCATCTTTTAGTAGGTTATTATTTAGTTTCCAGTATCCACGCACATTTCTGATTTGAGGGTCATTTTTTAAATGGATAATTATCATCTTGTGGTCGGACAGCTCCCACCTCTGCACCTTCTCCACCGACTCCCACTGATGACTGCTGTCGTTGTGTCCTTGGGCAAGACACTTAACCCCACTTTGCCCAAAGCCCCCACTGAAAGATCAAGGCTATGCTCACACTCAGAGAGCAGCCGTCCTCCTGTGGACTCACCACCTGCAGAGGATCAGTGAGGGGCTGGTGCTATGAGACTTGGGTGGCATCTCTGACTGCCACCACCCTGACCCAGAAATGGATTAAAGGGTAGAAAATGGATGGATGGATGGATGGTCGGACAGCGGAGCATATGAGTGAGACACCTCTGTGATATACTGAACACATGATGGGGAGGTGAGCCATAGATCTATTCTGGACTGTAGAGATCTATTTGCGTTTGCTCATGTATATTCAACAGAATTTGGATGCAAGTATCTCCATACATCAATAACAGAATTCATCGGAATAAAGTTGAACACTTAAATTTACCGGGTTGATTGGGTCTTGGTGGAAACCGGTCTACATTGTCATCAGGCGAAGCATTCAGATCCCCACCGATTATTAAGAAAGCACCTCTGTGAATTTCTAGTAGGTCTTTAATTTTTTAGCAACAAAGAATCGAAGTGTTTTTTGCCAATGCGGGAGTGTTGTGGTTATAAATGTTGCATACATTAAAAGTTGCGTTATTCATTTTGAGTGTTAAAATAATCCATCTTCCATCTTCAGACAAACTGGTGTCTTTAATATCTGCTTGGACCTCTTGGAGTATGGCGACCTCTGCTGACTGATTGGAAGTATGACTAAAAGAACACTGCCCCCACTGCGATTTCCAGAATTTAATATCATTTTCTGTGGAATGGGTTTCTTGAAGAAAAAAAAGGTCTGCATTATTTTGTCTACATAACATAAACATTGCTTTTCTTTTAGTAACATCCCTTAAGCCCCTTACATTCAATGACATAATTTTCAAAGAGTTAAATAAAGTTGTCATTTATCAAATCTAATAGAAGAAATAAAACAAAACAAAAATGGAAGAGGAAAGTTTTGAGTTAACTTACAAAATATGAATGTCAAGAATAAAGTGTAAACTAAGATTGGTGCCAGACTATTGCACCGTCTATATCATGAATTCATAATTACAAAAGTGTGCCAAATTGATATAGGATTTTGCAGATAGATAGTAAAAAAATTAAAGATGGGGAGCATGTAAAGTGGAGAAAACAAAAAGACTTATTTCCCCTTGTGCCTTGAACACTGAAGTCCATTTATCAAACATAACATTTTCTGAGGCACTTGTTGGATCAACTTGGCAACGTCGAAAGTTAAATAAACAGAGTCCAGATAATGATTACTCGATTAAGCAAACACATTTGTAAAACAAAGTGTCCAGATAATGATCTGGTGATGAACCAAATAATCAATCATATTTAGCGAAACATAAAGTGTCCAGACCGGACAGTAATCTAACGTGAAATCAATTAGTCAATCGTGGTTATCCGTTTCGTGATATAGCACAATATTACCTGGGGTCTGTGGAAAGTTTTACTTCTTTAACGTCAATGTAGCCTCGTGCACCCACAAAGAAAGCCCTTTTCCCCTGCTTTCTGGCTTTTTCGATCAGGGGCCACAACGCGCTGCGAATGGCTCGGTCTCGGGCAGTGAGGTCCTCGTGAAGCGTAGTCTGCGTGCCCGGAGAATCTCGGCCTCTTTGGAGCGCTGCCAGATGAGATCCCGCATGGTTCTGGAAACGAAGCGGATGATGATGGGTCTGGTGGAGCTCTCCATCTTTCTCCCCACCCGATGACAGACGTCAATGAAGAGATGAAGGGATTCACCGGTGTCAGGAGCCACAGCAGAACAAATGTCTATCATCATTTTTTTAACATTCTCTCCTTCTGATTCCTTCAGCCCGTGGAGACGGAGGTTCCATCGTCGATTGTATCTCTCACTATCATTCATCTTTTCTTCTAGTTCTTTGATTTTTGTTTCATGTTTGAGGGAACTGTTATAGAAATCAAACTGGGATTATAAATCAAATTAACTTAAGAATGAATCTAATGATGAATTAAAGCCGCAAGCGGCGTCGAACGGCCCTCGCCGCACCGCGCGACTCCCCGCACCGCGCCCACCACCCCGTTCCACGCCGCCCCGCACCAAGCCACCCCGCACCACGCCGCCCCGCACCAAGCCGCTGTCCCGCCTCATGCCGCCCCGCACCAAGCCGCAAAGCGCCGCTCCACAACGCCCCGCACTGCTAAAAAAGAGCAGTCTGGATGCCACTGTACTTAACAACTATCGTCCCATCTCAAATCTGCCATTTATGGGGAAAGTCCTTGAGAAAGTTGTCTACCTACAGCTTACTAGATTTCTTATAATCAACAACTCATTTGATATGTTTCAGTCCGGCTTTAGACCCCACCACAGCACTGAGACTGCTCTCGTTAAGGTTACAAACGATATCCGGCTGAACACTGACGCAGGCAAAGTCTCAATCTTAATCTTGTTAGATCTAAGTGCTGCCTTTGACACCGTCGACCATGAGATCCTCTTACAGAGACTAGAGGACTGGGTTGGCGTCACTGGCACCGCCCTAAGTTGGTTTAGGTCTTACCTTGAAGACAGGAAGTACTTTGTGGAGATTGGAAACTGTGTCTCAGATCATATGGCCCTGACCTGTGGAGTCCCACAGGGGTCGATCCTGGGACCTCTTCTGTTCAATCTCTACATGCTGCCGTTAGGTCAGTTAATACGCAGAAACAAAGTTTCCTATCATAACTATGCAGACGACACTCAGATCTATGTCTCACTGACTGCAGGAGAACATGGACCAGTGGACTCACTCCTTCACTGTATCCAACAGATCAGTGAGTGGATGCAAAACAACTTCCTTCAGCTAAACGCAGAGAAAACTGAAATGATTGTCTTTGGTCCCCAGAAACAAAGAGAGAGCGTCATCTGTCACCTACAGTCTCTCTCCCTAAAACCTTCAAACAAGGTCAGAAATCTAGGGGTAATACTGGACTCAGACTTAAATTTTAATAGCCACATCAAATCAGTAACATCAGCAGCTTTTTACCATCTAAAAAACATTGCCAGGATCAAAAACATAGTGTCTAAAGCAGACTTGGAGATTCTTATCCATGCATTTGTCTCCAGTAGGTTAGACTACTGCAATGGCCTGCTCACAGGTCTGTCCAAACAGGCTGTAAAACAGCTGCAGTACATTCAAAATGCAGCAGCTCGAGTCCTGACAAGAACCAGGAAGTACGACCACATTAGTCCAGTCCTCAGGTCTCTGCACTGGCTTCCTGTGGCTCAGAGAATAGACTTTAAAACAGCTCTGCTTGTGTACAAGTCTCTCCATGGCCTCGCACCAAAATATATTAGTGACATGTTAGTCCCATATGAACCAGCCCGGACTCTGAGGAGCACAGGGACTGGACTCTTGTTAGTGCCCAGAGTCAGAACTAAACATGGGGAGGCTGCTTTTCAGATTAATGCTGCTAAAATCTGGAACAGTCTTCCTGAAGATGTGAGACAGGCCTCCTCTCTGACAATGTTTAAAACCAGGTTAAAGACGGTTCTGTTTAACTGTGCATACAACTGAGGGATTTTATATTTTTATCTTTCTTTTTAATGTTCTGTGATAATTTATGATTTTAATGCTTTCTTGTTTTGTTCAGCACTTTGAATTGCCTTGTGTATGAATTGTGCTATATAAATAAACTTGCCTTGCCTTGCCTTGCCACTACGCCGCACCACACCGTACCACACAGCACCGCTAAAAGGAGGTGGTCCCGCCGTGTGATGATTTGTGTCCGTAGCCATAGAAGAATGTTAGTCAAATTGTAATGAATATGATAAGTAGAGCTGGTTTGGCTCCCCATGTAAACTTTGATACAGTCTGTAGGGGGCGCTAATGGGCCAATTTCCAATATTTCACTTTAACCTGACCTAAACCCTAGAATTGAACAATGGATTAAAGTTTTGTGCAAATCAGACTTTGTTTGTGCAAACAGGAGCAAAATTAATGTTGTCAAAAAGAGCCAAAAAAAACCCTCACATTTTGCCGCTCCGCTGCTCAAACAACGTTTCACGGATCAAAATTCCCTGAAGTCATTTTGAAGGTACATGTGTTGAGATGATGTGGAGCGATTTTGAGGCGAATCGGTGAAACGGCCGAGGCTGGTTTGATGTTTGTGTGAGGTGTACATTTGCAATGAATGGGGAGCGTTTGTCGTCGCCACGGCAACAGGGTAAAAAATAAGCCTTGGACCCTATTGACTTTATGAATCAAGAGGGCAAAACAGATTTTTGTGCAAAATTTCAAACATTTTGAAAAAACTAAATTTGAAAATGCCCATCTAAAATTTTGAAATAGTCTGTAGGGGGCGATATTGTGTCAATTTGAATCATTTGACTTTCAAATGACCTAGACTCTAGAGTTGAACAATGTATTAAAGTTTTGTGCTATACAGAGTTTGTTTGTGCAAACGGGAGCAAATTTTATGTTGTCAAAAACGGCCAAAAAAGGTCACATTTTGCCGCTCCGCTGCTCAAACAATGTTTCACTAATCAAAAATCCCTGAGGTCATTTTGAAGGTACATGTGTTGAGATGATGTGGAGCGATTTTGAGGCGAATCGGTGAAACGGCCGAGGAGGAGTCGCTTTCCAACAAACATGTATGAAAACTTTTGCTGTTCATTTTGCCATTTTGCAGTGAAATTTCTGGGCTTCCTGTTTGTCAGGGGGTGGAGCCATAATAATATTTTTTTTCTTGTCTTGACTATAGGAACATGTGTACCGAATTTCATGGCTCTACGACAAACTTGATCTCTAAAAGTCCCATAGGGGTATTATTTTGGCTGTGTGAGGTGGCGCTGTTCCGGCATTTTTTGAGTCCCATTAAAATAAACACCAAAATATCAAATTTTTCGCCAGGTCTGATTTTTGGGCAAAATTTAACAACTTTTCATGCATGTTCAGGGGGTCAAATTAAGGCTCAAAGTGCAGAATTTGACATCTCTCGAGCAAAAACAATAGGCCCTTTTCCCGTTCGGGGCTCGGGCCTAATAATAACCCCCATGGAATTTTTCTGAGGTCAAGTTTGTCGTAGAGCCATGAAATTCGGTACACATGTTCCTCAAGTCAAGACATGAAAAATTTTTTATTATGGCCCCGCCCTCTGACATACAGGAAGCCCATAAATTTCACTGCAAAATGGAAAAATGAACAGCAATCATTTTCATACATGTCGGTTAGAAAGCGACTCCTCCTCGGCCGTTTCACCGATTCGCCTCAAAATCGCTCCACATCATCTCAACACATGTACCTTGAAAATGACTTCGGCGATTTTTCATCAGTGAAACGTTGTTCGAACAGGGGAGCTGCAAATTGTTACCTTTTTTTGGCCGTTTTGGACAATATTAAATTTGCTCCCGTTTGCACATACAAAGTCTGATTTGCACAAAACTTTAATACATTGTTTAACTCTAGGGTCTAGGTCAATTAAAAGTAAAATAAAAGAACTTGGCTCATTAGTGCCCCTACAGATGGAGTCAAAGTTTTCAGAGTTTTTCATACTAAAAACTCTGAAATAGTCTGTAGGGGGCGTTAATGAGCCATGTTCAATTATTTCACTTTCAAATGACCTAGACCCTAGAGTTGAACCATGGATTCAAGTTTTGTGCAAATCGGAATTTGTATGTGTAAACGGGAGCAAATAGAAGGTTGTGAAAAACGGCCAATAAACACTCACATTTTGCCGCTCCGCTGCTCAAACAATGTTTCACTGATCAAAAATCCCTCAGGTCATTTTGATGGTACATGTGTTTAGACAATGTGGAGTGATATGGAGGCCAATCGGTGAAACGGCCGAGGAGGAGTCGCTTTCCAACCGACATGTATGAAAACTTTTGCTGTTCATTTTTCCATTTTGCAGTGAAATTTATGGGCCTCCTGTTTGTCAGAGGGCGGAGCCATGATAACATTTCGGTCGTATCTTGACTTGAGGAACATGTGTACCGAATTTCATGGCTCTACGACAAACTTGACCTCTGAAACTCCCATTGGCTGTTGTAGGTGGCGCTGTTCTGGCATTTTTTGAGTCCCATAAAAATAAACACCAAAATATCAAATTTTTCACCAGGTCTGATGTTTGGTCAAAATTTTACAACTTTTCATGCATGTTCAGGGGGTGAAATTAAGGCTCAAAGTGCAGAATTTGACATCTCTCGAGCAAAAACAATAGGCCCTTTCCCCGTTCGGGGCTCGGGCCTAATAATAACCCCCATGGGATTTTTCGGAGGCAAGTTTGTCGTAGAGCCATGAAATTCGGTACACATGTTCCTCAAGTCAAGACATGAAAAAAATGTTATTATGGCCCCGCCCTCTGACATACAGGAAGCCCATAAATTTCACTGCAAAATGGAAAAATGAACAGCAATCATTTTCATACATGTCGGTTGGAAAGCGACTCCTCCTCGGCCGTTTCACCGATTCGCCTCAAAATTGCTCCACATCATCTCAACACATGTACCTTGAAAATGACTTCGGCGATTTTTTTTTTCACGGATCAAAATTCCCTGAAGTCATTTTGAAGGTACATGTGTTGAGATGATGTGGAGCGATTTTGAGGCGAATCGGTGAAACGGCCGAGGCTGGTTTGATGTTTGTGTGAGGTGTACATTTGCAATGAATGGGGAGCGTTTGTCGTCGCCACGGCAACAGGGTAAAAAATAAGCCTTGGACCCTATTGACTTTATGAATCAAGAGGGCAAAACAGATTTTTGTGCAAAATTTCAAACATTTTGAAAAAACTAAATTTGAAAATGCCCATCTAAAATTTTGAAATAGTCTGTAGGGGGCGATATTGTGTCAATTTGAATCATTTGACTTTCAAATGACCTAGACTCTAGAGTTGAACAATGTATTAAAGTTTTGTGCTATACAGAGTTTG